AAGAAGAGTTTATAGATCAGTCACATAATAGCTCACTCTATGCCAAAATCAAGAAAGTTATATTCATATAATTAGAATTCCCAAAGTAGAATGGGGTAGGCTATAAATACTTAAAGATTTAAAATTTCTGAATTTAGTTAAAATGATAGCATCACATTCCCAAGAAAAATGAACTGTTTGCACAAGAAATATGAATAAAATCATACCAAGATACACAAAAATGAAATTATCTAAAACTAATTATAAAGAAAAAATCATTAAAGCATATACATAGAAAAAATATTCGCTATGGAAGAACAAAATTAAGTAGCATCTTATTTCACATTAACAAAAGAGCAAGTAGGTAAGAAACTAGACTTTTTTTTTCTTTTTGGTAACCAGAGATTGAACTCAGACCCTTGTGCTTGCTAGGGAAGTGCTTATTCTACTGAGCTATCTGCCTGGCCCTTAGACTTATTTATTCAACGGACTGAAAAAAATCTGTCCTCATTGAATTTTATACTTAGCAAACACACCTTTGAAAACTAAAAGTAAACTGTTTTCCAGTTATACAAACTTGAAATATTCTAATACCTCCAGATGTAGCATATAGAAAATAACAAAAACACCATAATCCAGAAGGTAAGAAAAGTTGTTGTTTGGTCCTGATACAGAATAAAGAGCTATCAAAATGGTAGTTATGCAGGACTATGTAAAATATAATTATATTAGATGAACCCATTTAAAAGGACATTGAAGATTTCCACAAAACAGTATCAATCTTATGTCAGGTTATACACATATTTTTTCATATGTGTGTGTGTGTGTGTGTGTGTGTGTAAAAGACAAAGAAAAACTAATATAAAGTCAATGGAAAATGGAAATACATTTTTTAAAGTTTCTAATACTAAGAGAAAGCCTCAGGTACAATTTTAAACGATGCTACAAAATAGGCACTGTTGAGATTCTTCAAGTTTTTTGAGAGCTGGTTTCAGTACTCTGCTGAGGGCCAGGTCACTCAACATGATAAATAGGTGAGGTCTTTAGTTTATGGGTTGAACTATATCTCTCCCAAATTCTTCTGTTGAAGTCCATGGTATTCTACAATGTAACCCTATTTGAAAATAAGATGTCTGCAGAGGCAACTTGTAAAGATGAAGTCTTACTGGGGTGCTGTGAACCTTAACCCTTAATATGGCGGGTGTGCTTAGAAAAAGGAGCAAACGGACACAAATACCCAGGAAGAGCAGTGCATGAAGGTGAAGGTAGGGATCTACATGGCAAGAATAGTTAAAGATTGATAACGATCTCCCAGAAATGGGAGGAAGGCTTGAAACCCATCCTCTAGCAGCCTGAGGAAGGGCCCATCTGCCCCACTGATCTCAGCCTTCCAGCCTGCAGAACTGCGGGACGAACTTCTGCTTGGTGAAGCGAGGCAGCCCAACAGGAACAAACCGAGTTTCTTTTCTAGATATTCTCAGGAAACCTGCCCAGCTTCAGGTGGTCCTGAGAGCACTCTGGGAGCACTGTTTCCCAGCAGGTGCTGGCTCTGGAGAGCCTCTCCAAGGTCCAGCCTGAGGCAGCACCTCAGGTTCGGGGTCTCTGCTAGGCAGCTTCAGCTCCTCTCCCCACTTCTGGGACATGAAAAGTATGTCAGCCATTTCCCTTCTTCCCTACCCTTCCCCACCGAAACCCTTCTTCACTTCTCCTAATAACCATGAGCAGCTGTGTGGCCTCAGCAACACTTCACCACACTTAGGGTCACCCTCTTCTGGCTTTCGTTGTTGTCTCTCCCGGACTTAAGTTTCACTATGACATTCCTCAGCATGAATTTCTATTTTATCTTGTTTGAATTTGTCCAATCTAGGGATTAGGGTCTTTCATGAATACTGGACCGTTCTCAGGGTCCTGCCAAAGGAAGCCTCTGCCCCTGCCCACTTCCCCTTTTCTCTTCTCCCCAAAGCCTAACTTCCCATCTCTGAGTGTGAAATCAGGCTAGCTTTGTAAGCTTCTCTTTCCTGGAGCTTTCTCCTTCCTGGAGCCATCCTCTCCCAACTGATAGAATGTTTATTTCTTCAAAAGTACTAATTAACTCATAAGTGAAATAAATCAGACTTGAATGGGTAAACATTGTATTGTCTCCCTTGTGTAAGAACCTGAAAAAATAAAATGCAAAAGGTACAATAGATACTGTGAAAGGGAAACTTTAGGGAAGGAACAACTGGGATGAGGGAAAGGAGAAAAGGGGAAAAAATGTATATAGTTATACACAAAGGACAGCTTGGATAATTGTACTGCTGATTTCTACTGGTATACTGAAAGGAACAGTTAATGCTTACATTTTTGGGGTCAATTTTTTGGACCAGTTTTACATGCTTATATCTGAACAACTACTCTGAAGAGCAGAAGGTTCTAGACTTTTGGAACATGGACAGGCTCTGCATGTACCTGGCAGTGTTATATGCAATATAATAACCACTGCTGAACTCCTGATTTTGTTTAGTGAAATTCTGTATCGTTTCTAATTTTTTTTTACTACTTTTTCTTTAAAAAATAAATGGAAATAAAAAATGAGTAATGTTCATAAGAAACTACTAATTAAGCATTCAAGAAGTATCAATTAACCAGTTCAGGGCCATTGCTAGTGGGGACACCTGTACCTCAAGAACAGCAACTTGGTCATCACATAAGGATGGCAGGGTAGTCTTGGTCAACCCTGGTTGATGGCCATAGGCTCCTTGGATGAGGGTGATAGTCCCAGTGCTGCTGGGCTCAGTGGGTGAGCACTGGGATGGATGAGTGATATTTTACAGACAGAGAAGTGGAAGGACAGTTAAGTGAAATGCAGAGGCAGGTCTGAATGCAAGTTCTGGCTCAGTATACTGCTAAGTGAACTAGGGCAAGTCTTTAATGAACTCTTGCAAACTTTTGGGCTTTCTGACCTCTAACAGTGATGGTGAAATTTTTAATAATACAAACAGTCCCCTGCAGCACATGTGCAGACCATAGATCTGCCACACTGGAGATAATTCACAGTTGAAGAAGCAATACCAGTCTGGGTAAAATCGGGGTGGGAAAGAGGACATGAGCCAAAATAGCTATAGTACATGGCAGAAAAAGTTGCAAGAGCTTAATAAGTATGGAATGTCATAGGAATTCAGAAGCTACTTCCAACTGAGATCATTTCACTGGTCTTGAAAAATAGTGGCTTCTTGGCAAAGACAATATAAAGTCTAAGAATGGAAGCAGAGGAATGTAGGGGCATACTGAAGGCGGAATGATTGTGGAAGGAGACTCCCAGGAGAAAGGCTGAAGAAAGCCTTCAAAATACTAGTTTATTGCTTAAAATATTGGCACCTTCAAAACAGCGCATAATCACTACAGGCAAAGTCATTTCTACAGCACACCAGCAGTGTTGTTTGCATTTACAAGAAAAACAGTAAGCAGCAAGACATACCAGCATTGGAGTATTGTTCCTTTTTCCTACTGAAGAAGCTTAAGTAACCATAAGGAAAGCTACCTTGTGGTTGGCAGTGGTAGTGCTAGGGATTGAATCCAGGGCCTTTGCACAGATTTCCATCTCTAGCCCTTTTAAAAGTTTTTATTAGTGTACGTCTGCAACACCTAATAGTTACATTTGTTTGGGGGAACTTGGTACATACATGTATCTAATATTTGGTCTCTTTCCTCCCAACTCCAAATCTCCAATAAATCTGCCCTTTCATTTCCTACCATCTCTTTCTCTTTCACAGTTTGATTTCAATTAAGTCTGTAAGCTGGCTGGGTTGGACTCAAACTTGAAATCTTCTGCCTCCCAGAGTGCTGGGATAGAGGTGTGCAGAAAGTTATGTATATGTGAGTACTGTGTAGGTCTTGAGAGCCTTATATTATACTATGCTGTGACAGATGCTACTACTACAGAACTGAAGTTTCCAGAGTAATGGTAAATGGTGGAGACAGGGTTGGCACCAGGATTTGAATCCAGTGGAAGCCTGGACACCAAGCACCCAATACTAGTTTATAAGGAGTGACAATATGCCTCTAATTGAAGATTTTACACCCACACCCACACCCATACCCACACACACACCTAAATAATAGTGAAAACATTTGGAGAGAAAGGACTTTTGTGGTCAATTAGCCTTCATTCCTGTCTGTGATAAAACAGCAACCTCCTGATTAAAATGTGGATCTGTTTTCTCCTGATTACCTGGTACATCCCCAGGCACATAAATCCCTCCTGATTTGAAAAGGATTCTTCTTCATTACAAGTCATTGTTTAGCGCCTCTCACTCTTTGCAGGAGATACTTCTGTGGGTATAGATGTTATCTCTACAAAAGAGGCTAATGGTGTTTGGGTGCCTGATCCTTTCTTAATAGGACTATAGGCCGTAAGGTGGTGGGAGAACACAATGCCTGTCCAAGTTCCAAAAGTCTAGAACCTTCTGGTCTTATAAGATGCTCCAGCCACAGGTCAGTACATAACTCTAAGGCACAATGTACCAACCTCCAATAAGTGATGGAACTTTATTCTAGAAGCCAGTAAAAAGGATAAAGAACAGGAATAGTTCATGATGAAATTATTTCTCTTCAGAATCCAAGGCAATAAGAATCTAAACCCTTTTTTTAGTACTGCTGCTGTCAACCTTGGCCACCACTTTACTATTTCAAGTTAATTTTTAGAGTTTCTTTTAGGAAACCTGCCAGCTACATCAGATTGGACCACATGAAAATTGCTGTTATTTTGCCAACAAAAATGGTCATTTCCTAAGAATCAACTTAAAAATCATAGCTATGTCTGAATTTTCAAAATATTTACTAATTTTTCAATTTAAATAAAGCCCTAGGGTATAAAAATGAGAAAATGTAATGCATAGTAAAAATTATAGTATCGAATCTTCAAGCACATAAATTCTAGTATGAGTTGATAGTCCTGAATGTATTTTATACAGACTGGGTACAAAATTTTCTGCAAGGGTGGATGTATTTTAAGAAAGAAAAAGAAACTCATTTGATTTATATATTTACATTTTATTAGAATTCTTCAGAACTGTCAACAATTGGACAACATATCAGGAAAAAAACACATGAAAACACAACATCCTTTAAGCTTGCACCGCTTATGTATTTACACATAAAGTTACTGTATATATAAAAAATATTTTCAAGGACTCATGGGCTTAGGAATATTCAAAAGACATTATTGCTACATTTCAATATTTACAAAAAAGCCACAAAATAATTTCAAACATTAAGCAACTGCAAAAAAACATCAGATGTAAAAAAAAATTATAAAAATATAAACTTTCAAGAATATCCAAGACAAAACTCTCAATGAAGTGCCCCTGAAGTACCTAGAGATCTACAATTATCTTTTCTTACCATAATCAAAGTCAAGAGGAACACAAAGGAGTTTTTCAGACAAAGTATGGCGAATGGTAACAATCTTTTACATGACAACACAACCCCAAAACTTGCTAACTTTGGAAAGGTGCGAGAGTATCGAACTCCAGTGCAAATGGTTACTTCTGGATTAATGGACAAACTGCTCTAACTGTAGTCTAAGGGGCGAATAAGGGAAAACCGTGGAGGCAACATACCTGAATCTTGCAAGACAACACACAAATCTTGCCATGTACATATTTACCTCTTATAGTAGGCAGCAAAGAGGAGAGGGGGAAGAAAGAAGGTAAACTACCAAGAATAAGATCCAGGCTACAGCCTAAGGGTAACACTTGTATATGTTTTGGTGGAATGGTAGTATTACATAAGGTCGAAGGAATGGGTACAGTATGCTCAGTATAAATAACAGTGCCTTAAGTGCATGTGGACTGCATACAGGTAGGTCCCTAAGCACTCCACTTTTGCAAGCTTCTATGCAAGCTTCTGGGAAGCTGTTCCAGGCAGCTGTGTGGAGACACACAGGACTAATGGTGAAAGCCAAGTTACTTCTTGGGCACTGAGGGACCCTCTTGGACTTGGGAAAAGCATCCCTTCAAATGCATCTACGCATCTACACACACACACACACACACACACACACACACACACACACACACACACACAGAGTGAGAACTGGCCCAACGTCCAGGACACATCTGTAAAGAAGGCTGAATCTAACTTCTACTTCCTGCTACACAAAAATCCAAACTAACAGAGCACTGCAGAATCATGTGGGAAATCGGTCACATCTTCAAACAGCACCAAGTCCATTGAGCACAATGCTATTCTGAAGTCGCCAGGTTTGTTCCAGACAATCGACAGGGCAAGTTCATTGGCTACAAGAGGAGGTTTCTTGCTGTTGGGACTACGCTTGGCAGTTACATTTTTTTCCTTAAATATGAAAAAACAGTATTAACTTTTTCCTTCAAATCTGTATGGCTCAATCTATTCCTGCACACAGCAGACAAAATGCTAGGGTTGTACTCAGAAACTAAACCTGTGGGCTCCCCCCCCAGTGCATGATCATGCACAATCTATAGATGAGTATATACAGACACTGGCTAGGGAGGCCTCATCTCCAATTCAACTCCTGATAGTCAATTCTATTTAAAAACCAGGGCAGGTATACAAAAGCTCATGTACTGGTCCACAGCAGTGTGCTTATTTCAGGTTCAGGGGCATTTTTCTTGGCCTAGGTTCCATTCTCAGCATGAAATGTTAGATTTCACAAACCTGGATCTTGCCATTTGTGTCCTATGTTCTAATCAAGTTCCATTTCCATGTAAAGGACTTGGGCTTCAACTGCCCATCCTGACACATCTTTGTATCATCCTAAATTCTTTCTTTAGGCCAAAGGTGAGTACTTCTACTTATTCAAATAAACAACCAACCATACTTTTCAAACAGAAATGGAGAAGCACTGAAAAGAAATCTGGGCATCTAGCCCATCCTATCCTCCCTAGATTCTCTAAGTCGGATTTTTTTTTTTCTGTATACAGTAGGAGCTACTTTGCTTTTGGGAATATATACAGTTAGATGGGCTGGTGGCTGATGACAAGACAATCATCAGTCACTAAAGTGTGCTCATAAGGACAGGGTTATGGGGGCGCCACTACCCTGGCACAGGACACAAGTCAGAGGGAAACAAAATAACCATCACAGACGCCAACAGAACAGGATCATCGCTCCCGCAGGGACAGAAATGACCCCAAATGGTCCTCCTGCTCAGACATCGTCGCGCACAAGGAGAGGCTGAGTGGCCGAGGCGCTGCTGCCGACTGAATTGACCCGCACAGAATGGTCCACCACCACGGGGTTCTCTGGGTTAGGGGTGCAATTGGCCAAGTTGGAGTAAATCTGGGAAAACAAGGCCACAATTAATACGGCAATCCCTATGACATACACACCGCAGCAGCAAGGGGCACGCGGAGCTTCAGAATCATGAATAACAGACACGGACTCGTGAAGAGAAGCAGTTTACAAGGCCTTGGTGGATAAAACCCACATCATAATGATGAAACAAATACAAGCTTTGCTTTACTCCTCGTTGCCCCCAAGGAAATCAGTTTACACAAGAAGTGGCAGGAAGACGTCTGCAAGCCTCGCTTTGCTGATGGGACCCATTTGGTGACAAACATTGCCTAACCTATGAGAACGTTTTACAAATCCTTATGGTCAACTGCACCCCCACCGCTCATGCAATTTGCTAAGAAACCCATGGCTCTTCCAGGGGTCGTCAGTTGGGAATCCAAGCATTTGGATGGAAAATACCGTTTCATTTGAAACATGCCTTGACGCCCCGCAGAGCAAGCTGCAACCTCACAGTACAGTGGTGTGCTCTTAGAAAAGAAAGCTCCAAGCATACAGACCAGAAAAAAAAAAAAAAAATAGCAACCTACAAAAATCTGAATCAAAGTAATGATCGTAAATTCTTCCTTAAAAGCAGGGGAGGAAATAGATTTGAACTTTCATCCCTCCCTCCCCTAAAACACTGGGCGGGATCGCGCAACTTCAAACACCTCCCGCTTCTCTGTGGCTTGTGGGCCTGACAACTACTGCCATGTGCTGGCTGCGCTGTGTGAACAGGAGGCCGACTTCATCGCAGTAACAAGCCGCCTTTCATTCTGGTTCACAGCACACCAGCCCTCTCAAGGATGAGTGGCCTTGACCGGTGAGGGGAGAGTACAGCAACCCCTGGATCTGCATATAGGGCAGAGGAGAAGCGCAGCCAGTCCTCATGGGAGCTGTCATGCCCACACTTTTGAGCACAAAGCCCCCTCCACCCCCTCATGCAGCCTTCTCTGTCTCAGAAGAGGAGGGCTGAGCAGAAACAAACCAACTAGTCACCTCTGAAGCCCAAGTTATAGCACAGACCAGGGAGGGAAGTGGGGAGCCATGGGTCATTGGCCTTGAGTCCTGAGGACCACACATCTGGAAGTGGATGGAGGCAGATTTGGGGCCTGGCCAGGTACTCACATGATTGGTGCTGTCAGAAATCTGCTTCTCAATGAGCTGGACAATTTGCTTGAATGTTGGCCTTTTTAGAGGATCAGCATCCCAGCATGTCTTCATTATGTCATACCTGCAAAACGACAGTCACCAACTGTCACTCCTTCATGACCTTCACCTGCCTTCCAGTGCCTATCCCACAACAACTTCCTAACAGTCCAGGGCTGTGCACCTGGACACATGAAGCGGCACGTGTATAAAACGCTGCATGAGATACTGTCAAGACTTTCTAAATTCTTGGCAAAAAGAGATTATGAAAAAAAACCCTACAGCAATGACATTTGATCAGGGTGTCACAAAAGAAGCCGAATGACATTTCAAATTGCACTACTGAAAACCCTCAACATCTGGGTTTCTGTCTTTAAAAAGAAAACTAAAAGGGGAAATGTTATCTGAAGAAAAATATTCTTCTCGGCCTTACATTTCAGCAGGTGCATGTTCAGGGCTGAGCATCCGGAACCCTTCCTTGATCATCTTGTAGAACTTGGAATCGACCGGCATTCCTGGATAGGGGCTGCTTCCTGCGGCAGACAGGTGGCAAATCACAGTCAGAAACTGCAAGCAAGCAGGGTACTACTACAAACTTAAAAGATGTTCTGAATCTAATGAGGTATCGTCAGTACCTAAAGAGAAGAGCTCCCACAGAAAAATCCCATAGGACCAGACATCACTCTCAAATGTGTACACGCAGTTGAAAATGCTTTCTGGTGCCATCCACTTCACAGGCAGTCGGGCCTAGGAGGGAAGCACACAGGTTCAGCCGCATTAATGGAGAAGCTTCAGAAGTGAACGGGAAACATCCCACCATGTTCTTCCTATTGCTAGGTGAAAGGTGAAGAGAGAGTACTACCTAGCAAGACCTTTGTCTACATGACTTCAGAAGGGTCCTGCAGCTTCTGAGATGGTTCATGGTTCTATTATGCTCATTTAAACATAGGGATGTAGGTGGATGTAGGGATACATGCCTGTAATCCCAGCAACTTGGGAGGGAGGGAGGAGGACTGCCATGGGCTACACAATGAGTTGAAGACAGCCTTCACTACAAAGCAAGACCTTGCTTCAAAGAACAGTGAACAAACAAGGAAACAAATGTGGAGACATTAAGTCAGCATAACATGGTGATTAAGAGCACAGAATTTAGAGACAGGCCTGGGCTCTATTTGGGGCTCAAACATGGCCTTGAGTAAGGCAAAGAGCTATTCAGTTGCCACTGAATATATGCTTCCTTTTTCTTAGTAACAGAAATATGGCCTTCCATAATTAGGACTACATTTCCCAGCCTGCACTGCAGCTAGCTGTAGCCATGTGACTGGAGGCTCTAGAAAAATCTCCTTAAAATACAGTAGTCATGTATCCTCTGTGTCTTGTTTGTAGTGTCCCTTCCTTCACTCTGCCCTATGCATGTAGTGATGGGCTGGCTATCTGTAGTTATCCTGGGCTGTGAAGACAAGGATTACACCAGGGATAGCAAAATGTGGAAAGGCATAAGGAACTGGTCCTCAGCACTTTATACAACTTCTATGCCAACCCTGGCCTTTCATCTCTGGTCATCTTTTATTTTAGGTTTTCTGTAATATGTGATCCAAACTATCCCTTACTAGTATACTGGAAATGCTACTTAAGTCTTGACCAGTAGCTTCAGAATCTTCTATAGAACAAAAATAATACTTTCAATTCCAAGAGTTGTTTTCTGGCATATGTGAGATGACGTGGTTCAGCACTGCCCACCCCACTTGTATCTAGAAAACCAGCTAGCACACCAAGAAATTAGTAAGCAGTAGTGGCGATCACGCCTGTTGGGAGTGGTAGGCAGCAGGTTCAGGGCACTCTCAACAGCTGGACTTTATTATGTCCAACTCCTCACTCAAGTCAAGCCAAATTCTTCATGATTATTCCTCTTACAGGCAGTCTGGGTTTCCAGATATTAATTTACCAAAGAAAGCCAACTCAATCCTCTTAATCCATTTAGGATGAAAAACTGGGAAGACAGTTCTCGTTCTTGCTAACCTTAAAGTTATTTTAGTAATCTAAAAATAAAAGTATAAGCTTTCCAACTCCTCTCCCCAGATTCTGTACTCAGAATGGGGCTGTTGACCTGAAAACTATGGATGGGTTGTACCCTGGGGCCTAGGCACACCTAGAAGGTAAAACATGTCATCGTCGTGGAGTGTGCCTAAGGAGAGTCACATGAGGAGAAGACACTCTCTCAGGACTTTCACAGAGAGCACATTGGCCAAGCAATGGCTGTGACTCATCCACATGGCTGCACTGACAAAGGTTCTACAATCTGAGGTACAGGATCTCAGGATAAATCCTGAGGGCATTTCACTGACCTTCTCAAACCAAAAAGCTACAACTCTTGTTGCATAGGTTCTGCTTTACCTTGGTCTTAACCATCCAGTAGAAAAGTATGAAGATGAAATATAGGAAGTAAAGCCATGTTGTTATGTTGAGCTGTGGGGGACTCAGGTCAATAATTTCTGACATTGCCAATTAAACAGAAGACCCAATGCTATTATGGGCTTCTGTACTCTTTTAGAATATTTTGCTGAGTTTACACACCTATAATATTCAACAACGGAACTTAAAAAAAAAATTGGGGTATAACTATGAATGTCCATTTTGTATCTGTGCATTCAAAGTGGTTGGGATAGATATATAGTTGCATTCTCTTAATGAATAGAATGATTTGTTCTAATGGTGTTTGTAAGTAGGATCACAAGTCTGCATCTTGTACAGCAATTAACCACTAAGAATATATGCAGTGTATTATTTGTTGAAACTGTACTTTCAATTTGATTTGAAACTGTCTCATTGCTATAGGTTTATCAATAAAACTTTGAAAAGAAAAAAATAAATAAAAAAATAAAATAAAAAAAATAAAAAAATAAAAAAATTACAGAAGAAGACAATACTACTCATGGTACCTGTGACTACCTGCTGTAATTACAGGTTTGCGATCTTCAATTCCTACCCTAATGTTTACAGGCATCTTAAAACAACACTTACATTCCACTACTACTTTGAAATTACAGCAGTTTCTAGAATATGTTCCTCTGTGTAATAAAAAGCACATATATTGATGTATCAAATTTACTTTTTCGTGGTAACCCTACATAACGGGGTGTACACCTCTGTTCCCAGCACTTGGGAGGATGAAGTAGGAAAGTCACAAGTTTGAGACCAGCCTGAGCTACACAGGGAGACCCAATCTCAAAAAACCAAAAATGATAAACAATAAAACTACACATTTAACATAGTATTCAGACAAGGGACCTGTCAGCTTCCCTAGGTTGTGAAAGGACCGATAGCCTAAAATGGACTAAGATCTCGTTAATATGAAAGAGCTTTCAGAGAACCTGACCCAACATGAAGATCTATCATGACTATGACATACATTTGAAGAGAGGAACAAGTTGTACTTGTTTCCTGGTTCTTAACTTATTTGGATTTTTGTGGGGTTTTTTGTATTTTAGGAAAGGGTCTATAGGGGTGTTCAGGGTCTCACTACTAGATCAGACTTGTAGTGTTTACAGTCTCCCAAGAGCTGGGATTACAGGTGAGTGCCACCATGCCCAGTCTCAGTTGCCATCTCAGCCAGCCACAGGGGCGGGGTTGGCACAGCAGGCCTTGGGATTGAACCCCTGGCCCCTGCCTCTGCTTGCAGGTGCTTTAATCCACTGCGCTACTTGGCCAGCCCCCTTAACTTGTTTCTTGAATTCTTTACCCAGTAACCTGGTGAGAGTGATGTCTGTGACTGCTTAGTTCAACCTCTAAATCCACAATCGAAAGGTCTGGTAATTACAGTAACAAGTCAGTAAGAAGCTGCAGTGTAACCATTATTATGAATATTTAGATTCAAATAAGGCATCCAGAGAGGATCTTAAGAATATGCCTGGTATCTTTTGAAGTTCTTGACATACAGTAGCTGGTTTAAACTTCACAACAACTTTATGAGGCAGGTACCAGCATTATTCTCAAGAGAAGAAAAAGCAAGATGTAAAGATGTTGGATTAATTCTTGCCAAATATTACAATATTACACGGCCATGAAATGATCAGATTTCATAGATTCTAACTGCATAAGCCGAAGCCCAAAGGTCACTATCTCCCTTCTTTTGCCCTTTAGGAAAAGAGGCTAGCATAAGGTACCACATTTCTTTCTTCCTTTTACTATGGTACCAGCATGGAAAGAAGTTGGTTTTCTCAGCCCTTCTTATGATAATAATGCCTGGCCTGGACCAGCCTTTTCAGAAAGGGATGCTCAGGGCAGGAGACAAAGCCAGCAATTCTTATACAAAACCAAGTCGAGCAGAGTCTACCAACAGAGATGTTCCAGTGATGGAAAAGATATTACATTATTAGAAAGGACACAAAAATCTCCTCCAGGAATAAATCTGGACTGTACAAAATGGCCAAGCAAATAGGTACAGAGGAATATATTCGCACAGCAAGTTAACAGTTTCCCATACCAATGGGATGCTGCTTTAAAAATCATGAACCTCTTCTGAACCATCCCAGATAAAAACGACTAAAATACACTGTGTCTCAGTCTGTCCAACTATTATAATGGGAAGACACTGCATTTTAAGACACAGGTTTGCTTGGAGGATACAATGAGAAATGGTAGTGAAATAAAAATATTTTGAAAAAAGTCACTATGTTCTGCGAACCAGTTATTACTTATGAATCTACTGAAAAGCCTAATGATTAGATTCTACATTCTACACAGCTAATTCCAAACAAGATCCTTAGATTTCAATCATTTTCATACAGTATGTCAATCTCCCCCAAATTCTCCTGCTGTGACCTTCAGGTCTCCATTGTTACACTTTAGCAAAATCAAGTTCACTGCTATTCTCAGGCTATAATGAAAATTAAGGCTATTCCTGTTTCCTTTACATGCCCCGTAATTACACAATTAGAATTAAGAATTCTAGCATTATCAAATGCTAGTAGTTGTAATGTTCAGCATTCCATGCAAATTTCACTGAAGTATACTTAATTTGACTGCTAAAATGCATGTTATTTCAAGGTACGATTTGCATTATGAAAATCACAGAACACAATTTTTATCAAAACTTGAGGCTAAAAACCCTTTGTAGAACTGCCAGGCAGAGAGTGGGTACTCACGTTTCCTTTAACCACATAATTAGAATCATTCTTGATGTCTCTGGCTAGACCAAAATCACAAATCTTTGTGATTCGACCATGAGTAAGGAGGATATTTCGGGCTGCCAAGTCTCTGTGAATACACTATTAGGTTGAGGGAGAAAAGAAAGCCATTGAAATTCATTTTAAATTTCAAAGAATGAAAACTATTTTTTATTCTGAAAAGGTTGTTTTTATTATTAAAAATCCAAAACTTTTGTTTTCCATTTAAAGTACTCAGCACACCAAAAATAAGAATCAAAATTGTGCCTTGAATGGCATTCACATTTTATGGTCCACATTATCCGGACCCTAATTACTCTAATCACTTGCAAAATCAATTCTACTAAATGCTGCTCCCCTTTCTCAGCAATGCTTTCATTCATAGGGAAAATATAAATAGTCAAATTGGGTTTTTTTTTCCCAAAGGAAAATTTATTTCCCATGTATCTCTTTGAGTGTTCTTTCAAAGAGTTCCTAAAATGTCTTCGCAACTTCAGCTTGACATCTCCCAAGGACACCAGAAAATGGTCTTTATTTCAGCCATCCAATCTCCTTTTTTAGTTTGGTAATTGTTTGGAAATGTCACCAATGATGCATGAGGGTACAAGTGTGACCTCATTCACATTAGTTAGTCCTACTTCCTGCACAGTTCCTCTCATCCTTCCTGAATTCATATTCCTGTTTTGGGTCCATCATTTTCTTCCAATCCCCATCCTTTCCCCCATATTATTCTCAATGACCCCTATTTCCTGGCATTTCGTAAGTCACACACGTTAATATGTAGGGTCTAACATCAATACAACCCAACTGTATGCTTCATCACGCATAGCTACTATGAGGCACAGGCCTGCTTTTGCTGATAAAATGATTATCTGTTTTTTAGAAGCATATCCTATATCCTAAAGCTAAAAGTTTTAAATGAATTCACTGCATATAAAAGAATATTCTTGGAAAGCTCACTTAGACAGGTTTGCACTTTAAAGCTTATAAATTAGAACAGGAATTCCAAAGAGACAGCAGTTGGAACATGAAGAAACTAAATTTCCTCTGCTTTGGGTTACCACACTTCAAAATGACACTCTGCATTCTAACTAGGGCTCTAAAATACTCTGTTCTTTATTAAAAAAAAAAAAAAACTCTTCTGAGAATCATTCTCACTTACATTCTTTGAGGCAAGGAAAGCCATGCCCTTTGCCACCTGGTAAGAAAAGCTCAACAAGTCTTCCAAGTCCAGGGCCAACTCATCATCCTCCATGACAGCAGGCGTCATATCTCTTTCTATGTAGGAGCCTGCTGGGAAGAGAGGGATCTTCATAGCAATTAAACTTTAAAGGTTAGTAGCACCCTGTTAATGACAATACCAAAGACGGATGTAAACTCGCAAGACAATCACGTCCCCAGTGTCGAGGAAAGAAGGTGTTGAGTCATAAAATCAATAGTCAACCCTCAAAACCAAAAGCAGTCAACATTCCTGGACTGAGTCATCAGCTTCTTAGGGCAGAGGGAAGGTAAACTAATTTTTAAATCCCAAACATACATTAAGATGCCGGGTGCAAAAATACATGTTCCAGACCCAGCACCCAACAGCACTGCCCACGGAGCTTTCCCATAGAGGGACACTCCTGGGGCTGGCATTCTATGCCACAGTGTGTAACAGAGCCTCTGTGAACAATGTGACTCTTCCACAGGTACCCACCTATTCTTGCCGACCTCCTTTTCTCTGCCTTGGTGGGGACAACATAAGAAACTCCAGGCTTCATATCCATGTACTCACTGTTGTTGTCACTGCTAGAAGAGATAAAGACCCATCAGGTCAGTGCTGCCTAGGGCAAGGACAATGCGGGGGCAGCCAAGGGGCCCCTCTGGACAAAATGGACTGATGTTGCAAAAAGCAACGCAACACTGAATGAAGAGTTTATAAAACATGCTCTATAAGGCACAAATTTATTCCATATGAGGGTCCATCCCCCAGGAACCAGATGTTCTTTTAGGAGGACTCAGGTTAGAAATGCCCCATCTCTAGATCTGGTGGGTTTTTAATGAGACAGAGAGCCAAAGACATTACCTCACATTACTCCAAACTCTAAATTAGCCCGTACAGAGACAAGACAAAAGACAAAAGGACAAAAGCTTCCAAGATGCACTGAGAGAGCGATCCTTAACATATAGGGACTGATGGAAGGAGGTTTAAAAAAATCAAGTTTGGTTCAGATAAACACCAATAATTTGGATGATTTTCTGAACCATCTGGACCTCTTGAATCTGCAACATTTGGCTGGAGACTCTTCAAGATTTCTAGTACTTCCTGCTTCTGATTAGCATAGAAACACCATGACAACAACCTCCTTCAGAGCGTGCTGGGGACTCCAAACCCATATGGGATCCCAAAGCACAGAGAACACCATACAGGACTACACAATTCAGGCCATTATTTTTGAAAGTTAAAGAAAAAAATGCAGAAGGCCAAGGTATAGAAAGAAGGGAACAGGGCTCAAGTCTTCGTATACAGAACAGTGTGTCACAGAAACTGACAAAGGGTGGCTTTTATAGTATCTTACCACTACTTTAAAGGATTGAAATTTATAGACAAAAAAAGATATAAAATAAAAAGCTTCACCTGGGGTTTTAAACTTTAGCCAGAGGTACAACAAATGGCTTTAAAAACTAATTGCCCATCAATAATAGTTACTGAGGTCTTCTTGAGGGCCTAATGTTCAGCAATCAGAAAGTCTTACCATCTCAAAACACAGATGACACAGAGTCAAATTCTTACTTCCTTATTCATTTTGGTCCTGGGCCCCTCCTATGCTGACCAAGTGCTCTACTACTGAGCCATACTCCTAGCCCCTAGAGTCAGTATTAAGAGGGACTAGGAATGACTGCAGTTCTCTTGGGATCAAGTAATCTAGGAAATCTTACATGGTAGATATTAATAGCATTGAGAAAAAAAAAAAAGAACAGGCAAGGTATGGCAGAGAAGGTGTTTGTCTACTCTGGTTGTAAACCAAAATTCTCCATGATGGAACTTGAAGCTTTTTACACATCATTCAACCTTAGAATAGCACCAGTGATGAAAAAGAGGAAAATAAAGCTGAGAGTTTTGGTTTTTTAAAAAATGTGCTAGAATAGCTATGTCTCTATAGCATCATCAACTAAAGGGGAGGCCGGTATAGGGGAATAATTTGGAGCACGACGGCCAACGTTTGCATGTACTGGTACACTCTACCATGTGCCTACAAGTTTTAAAAACTTTACTCTAACAACTTGACAGCCTTTAGCCTCTTCCCTACAAAGATTCACACTGTGAAGATGCACACAGAGGCACGCCTATAATCCCAGCCCTTGGGAGGCTGAGGCAGGACTGCCAGGAATTCCAAGGCTAGCCTGGACTACACAGACCTGCCCCAAAAGACCAAAAAGATGCAAAGACCACACTCAGCAGTATAAATGTAAATACAGGTAAGAATGGAACCACCATTAAAGAAACAGGTACAGACGTATCTGACCGCACAAAACTAAGGCTAACAGGCTAAATTAAATGCATGAATTTATAAAAATTAAATGCATGTATTTATTATTTTTAAAAACTTCACATCTAAGTTGAACATGATTTGAATCTTTAAAAACACTATTTGAACTTCCTAAACAGTTAATCACATTTAAATAATTTAATAATTCTGATTTCACACCTCAGAGTACCTTGGCTGGTTTTTTTAAAGAATCAGCCTTGATTGCAAACCCTTATGACCCCATGAACTGCCTGTCAACAGCTGACTGTTTATGCAAATCAGCCTTACCTGGAAGGCTCCTTTGAATGCAAAAGGTTCTTATAAAGTGCAGCTTCTGCCTGATCTTCCTGCTTTGAGTAAATAAATGAATCACGTTTTCTTCTCAAAAAATTCAAAAGATCACCATAGCAACAATATTCTGTAATGACCAGAGTGGGCCCTACAAGGATATAAGAACAGGTTACCAGGAGGTGAGATATAAACTATAGACAATCTTGTCTCCTCTAGAAATACCCAGGGGTGATCATGGCCGCTAACATTCAGCTTCAATGAATGTCCCAATATAATTCACTATTAACATCACTTTAAAGAGCAGCGTTAGACGAAGAAAATTATACAAGTCCCTTTTTACTTAACTTTTTCTTTCTTTTTGTGGGTGAGGTGTGTGCTGGGAATTGAACTCAGGACTTCGGGCTTGCCAGGCAGGTAGGTTGCACTGAGCCACATTTCCTAGCCCTCTTTCTTCCTTAATGATACTGGGGATTAAGTCTAGGACTTACACACTGAGTTATGTCCCTAACCCTTTTTAAAGACTGGTTCTTGTTAAGTCACTAAAGTTCCAAACTCAAACTTGTGATCCTTCTCCTTGAGCCTGAATTTCTAAGGCACACAACTGCTAGGAGCCAGGCAAGAGTGCTGGTTTTATAGCTTACTACTTTCAAACGTCCTACTATTCCCATGCTTTCTATGTGAATCCTCGATTCACTTCTGCTTATGGCAGGGCTTCACAACTCACTACAGTGAACGTTGTTATGGAAATGAAGAGCCCAGACTGTGGCGGAGTAGGAAAATCAGCCACATGGATGAGCCAGCTGAGGCCAGACAGGAAGATGGGAAAAATCCTGAAATGACCCGTGTTCCGAGTGCTACGAGTAGAAGAGAATTCTGCTGTTCCAAATGCTTAAAACTTAGTTCTGAAGTTAATAAGCAACTAATTGCCTTGGGTAGAAATTGTCTCATGAACAATTCATGATATGGCAGAGTGTCACTTATGGATTTGTGGGGGTGGGTGTTACAACATTACCGAAAGCTGCCAACTTCCCGTGATCTCTCCAGATCTCCAGGAACAATTCCTCTTACATATCTTTGTTTCTTTAGACCAAAATGCCTTCTGAAAACATCAGAGACAGCCTTGATGGAAACTTGAGTAAGACTTAAGAAGTGGAAACTGATTTTTACAGAAGTGAAATGCTTACTCTGTTGGCCGTGTATTTGAGAACTGGGCAACTTGGGGGCCTATTTCAAATTGTGGTACGCAAGTGAATATTAACTCCTTACTGACCAAATATGGTCCAACAATATAAAAAAACAAGAAAATTCTGCTGGTGGAGGTGGGACATTCAGGAGGGGGAGACCTTTTTTTTTTTTTTTTTGGTACTGGGATCGAACTCAGGACCTTGTTTGTGCTTGCTAGGCAGGAGCTTATACTGCTGAGCGCTCTCTCCCTCTCTGGCCCCAAGAGCGACTCTTTTGATGTCACATATTTGATGGTAATGAGTCTATGTCCTGAGCTGCTTCTTAGAGGATGAGAAAAGTAAAATGCACATTCTTAAAGGTTGATGTCATTACTCGCCAACTCAGTCCTCACTTATGCTTTCACTATAAATTCCCAAATGTTTCTTCTATTGACATATGATACCTGCACTTACTTACAGGGTAGAGTATTATAATGTGCAATACATACACCAATGTGTAGTGACCAGATCAGGGTAACAGCAGGCCTTGCACAGAAAGTCAAATACACATTCATTCATTTCTTGAGAATAGAACAAAATTCTGGATAAAAATCTTGCAAGCAATTTATCATGAAGCACTGTCAACATAGCATGAAAAAACTTTCCCTCTTTGGTAACCTGACATAACTTAAGCCTATCAAGATGCAACCTCACCTCCCACAGTGCAGGCTCCCAGCAGATTCACGATGTTCATGTGATTCCCGAGGTAACTCAGGACCTTGAGTTCAGACATGAGCGCCTCTCGTTCCGTTAAATGGGCGCTTGCTAAAATTGGAAAGAGCTTATATGAGCAAAATAAACCCAACTTGGCAAACAGGTACAAGGCAGACTCTCTAGCACAGAAAAGACTTACGCTTGAGCATCTTGACAGCAACAGTCATGGCGGCATCTGATTTAATCAAGCCGTATGCAGTGGCCTCTACAACTTTCCCAAAAGCACCAGCACCCAAGGTCTTCCCTTTAGAGAGAAGGATAACAAGGTCAGAGGTGGCAGTGGAACTGCACGGCCACTTGGGGAGCTTCAAACTCCACAAAGGATTTTAAGACAAATTCTAGAGACAGTTTCCCATCACGTTCCCTCGGCCAAGCCTATGAACGTCTGTAAGACTTTACAGCACACATTTATTTCAGGTGGAATAGCACAAAGGAAGCCTCCAGAGTTCTCTAAAAGCACTGTTCAATGCATACAAGAAGGTTGCATGGAAAGTCCCTGTTTGATACTGACCAAAACTCAGCCTGTTTCTGGGAAACTCCCATTTGTGATCATAAGGAAGTTGCGTTGGGTCTATGTAAACATAATTGTTTCCATTTATCTCCTCGACAACCTTCCACTGCACTTCATACATGGGCTTCTGGAAGAGAAAAAGAAAGATGTATCACCTTTTAATGATTAATGCTTGGCCATTACAGCACTCGGGGGAGAGAACAGATCGATGATTACCTGTAAATATTTGTAGGTGAGAACCATCACAATGATGCACATCAGACCAGCTGTGATCACAAAACCGATCAGCAGTGGGGTGAACAGAGTGTGGGGATGGGTTTGTTCTGAAATGGAAGAGAAGCGGGAATCACAAATTATTAGCAAGACAAGATCTTTGGCCCAACCATCTAAGCCAAATGGACCCACCTCCCACCTCACGCAGGGTACGCTTGGTTACTACTGATGCTTTCTACTCAAAACTATCAAAATCCACCCCCAGCCAGATAACTGAGAAGTTTCAATTTCTCAGTCATCAGAGAAATTAATAAATAATCCAATTATTTATTAATAATTAAATCAACTTATGCTGTTTCAATGAAAAACAAGATCTGAATAAGCTTTCCCCTCCCACACCCTGCCTCATGATGACATCAAGCTTCCTTTATGAACAGTTTGCATGTTTTCTTTTTAGTTTCAAAATTTTCTACACTGAGCATACATGTCTTTCACAACTAAGAAAAGTACTTTTGAAGTATCCTTTACATGGCCCTCTCTAGAAAAATCCATAATGTACAAAAAATGTAAGATTCTTTCCTTCATTACTAAAAAGTTGAGAAAATACTCCTTTTTCACCATTCTTGTCAACTAAAAGGAAAAAAAAAAAAAAAAAAAAAAAACCCAAGATTACAAAAAAAACCAAGCCCTGAGGTGCATCAATAGGTCAGCAAACTAAGTGCCTGCCTGGGCAAGTACAAGGACCTGGGTTCAATCCCTGCTACTGCATGTTGTGCCACACTCATCCCAGGTACACTGAGCCGGCCACCAAGACCAGGTATGGTGGGGTATACTTGTAATCCCTGCACTCAGCTATGAGTCTGAGCTGCTTAGTGAGATCCTGTACACATTAAAAAAAAAACCAAAACTGAGCCCTAAAATTTAAAATGCAAGTTTTGTACCCATGCATCTATTTCTCTGTAAGGGCCATTTAAGTCATGCTATAAGAACCAGTTTCTCACACAGCACATTGTTCAGAAATCTCTTGCTAGCTTACTGACATCAAGGTCAGCATGAACTTTCCGTTTCAGTGTCTGGCAGAGTCTTAACTCCTTTTAAATAACTGAATTTAAATTTTAAATTTTTGTAATTATGCTTGAGCATAAGGTAAGTATATTCTGCTATTTACTTCCAACCCCTTTCTAATGGAGACAATTATGAATATATGATTAGAGAGACATGTACACGTGTGGGAGTATACACACACACAAAATATATATATAAAAAAGTGGTTAAAATTACTCTGGAAAAGTATAAACTTCATTAACAAAGTGGTACAGAATGAAATGTAGCGAATTCAATGATAGTATGCATGATGAAGGAATTACCAGAATGACATGGCCAGTGTTGAAATGGACCTAGTTGTGATAAGCATGACAGACAAAACCTAATAGCCCCTTAAATCGGAGTAAAAAGAAATATACCTTTGTTGTTACCTTTAAATGCAAAGTTAAAATAGGCAGAAATCTTGCCCACTTCGTTGGAAGCCTTACACTCGACTGTGCCGTTGTGCCGGAACATGTTAGAATCTACGGAGCTCTGCACCAGCAGCTTTCCAAATGGTGGCACAGAGGAGTTCTGAATCTGGACCTCCACCGGTCGGACAGAATTGGAACATCTTGAGACAGAAAAAAATAAGGCAGGCTTACTCAAGGGGAACACATACAGGAAGCACCTTGGATTTGGCATATGTTTACAATAAAAGTACAGTTTCCCAATCAGTACTAACTCCTTTTAGACAGTCATCAGGGTCTGAGTGCTTCTGTGGGCCTGAGAAAGGTACAAAGTCCTCTGGGAGAGAAGAAAGAGGGAGAAGAAGTTTTGGGGCTAGCTGTGGGTTTAAATTCTGACTTCAACATGCCCATTCTGCCTACTCCAAGACTCAAAGGCAAGCTAGCCATGGTGGTACATGCCTAGAATCATAACAGCCTGGGAGGCCAGGGCAGAAGGATCTCAAGTTCCAACCCCCACTAGGCAACTTAGTGACTTAGTGAGATCATCTCTCAGAATTTACTAAGAAAACACTGAAAATGGACTGAGGACACAGCTCTGTACATAACCCCTGGGTTCAATCCCCAATACTGTTAAACTCTGCCTACTCGGCGCTCAGTGCCTGGTTCCATTCACTCCCTCTGTAATACCTACAGTACCCGCGGCAGCTTCCCCCCTGCCTGTCACTCCCCACACAGGGATGCAGTCTGCTGAAGGAAGAGGCCGGCATAGTCTGGCCCCCCAGTCAGCCCTGCAGGAAACCTGCTGATGGCAGGACTGGGAAGACTGGGCTACTTCCCTGGGGGTCCTGGACCCTCCCTCTAGTTCCCCTAAAGAAAACATTTCGCTAAAGCTCCTCCCAAAACAATAATCCTACATAACCTCTCCTGACAAAAGGTCCATTCCGTGAGAAATACAATTTCTACCAGTAGCCTGACGATTGAGTTCTGATGTTAAGTGGGGCTTTTAAAGCCAGAGCATTAAATAGCATTTGACGGATAAAAACAGCAGCGCTGACCCCATTTTCGTCTTCAGGTAACGTGAAAGGACAATTCAAGGCTTAAGTGTGGACTGTGCGGCAGAAGCGGCACAGTGCCAGATGTTCTCTCTTCAGGGTCTGGGCACCTAATCAAGGAGAAAACCTTTTCAGAACCCGTCGCTTACAAACGCCATATGTATACTGTAATTGTGCGATCATTACTTTTTGGTAACTTGGCAATTAACTTGGGAGGTAATTTTTTCATGATAACTACAGCCACACTTCCCACACACATTACCTCCTGTGTATAGAATGGAAATCTAATTACTCTGTCCTGGAAAATTGCTTTATCTACCTGCAGGCTAGAAATTGCACGATAAATCCAAAAAGATAACCACCAAAATAGCGAAGTCATTCAGTAATCATTTTTCAGCAAACAAAATTAATGTCTATCAGGAAAAATATGGTCATTATTCCTTCTCTTTAAAAGCCACATAGACTAAAAAATAATAATAATCAAAACAAAGCTTTTCATTAAAAAAAAAAATCTGAAAACACATTTGAAATTCAACAGAATTGCAGCCTTTCCCTTCTGCATTTTAAGCAGTGCCAAAAATAATCATCTCACCTCTGCTCCGTTCCTGGACAAAAATACCAATCTATTGTGGGCTCTGGGAATCCCGCTGCCACACACTGGAGCATGCCATTTGTGAGCCTGTCGTAAGTCAGGATTTCTGGTTTTGCTGCAGGAAAAAAATAAAAGAGAAGCAACCATATGTCAGACTGCTGAAAGGCCTCAGAGATTCACGCCACTCTTTTTAATCCTTACAACCCTTGGAATCTGGTTAGGAGATGGAGAGAACCCGAAGCAGGAGTGAAAGATAAAGGGAGGTGGGCATAAGGGTCCAGTCAGGAAAGACTTCCACAGTGATTGCGGACTACCCGTTCCTCGTGCAGGCAGGGAGGTGGCCGCCAATCTTGAGAAGCAGAGGGTAGAGGACCACCAGCTCTGCTTCCACTTGGGAGGACTCTGAAAGACTGCTTTGGGTCCAGGCTCCTGGACTCCAAAGTGTTCTAAAGGTGGATCTTGGTCAGAGGATTCCCGCCAATGGATTTCAAGTTATTACACCTGCTGTGGGATTTCCAGTGACCTTCTGAAGTAGAATGGGTGAAACTAGGAGTTGTTTTAAAGAAAAGCTCCATTCCCTTCTATCCCTATCAAAGGGATAGAATAAAAAGTGGAAACACCCTGTTGATAGGGAAGCCCGAACCTAAGAGTAAAACCAATATAGGTCTTAAACTCCAGATCTTTATTTCAGATATAAAAAATAAAACAGAAAATTAGAAGCGGAAACTAGCCCAAGGATTTTATTCATACTTACATCAAGAGCCTGAAAATAATCAGGAAAAACATAAATTGCATCAGCAGGAAGGTTCTAATTTGACATTTCTGTGTAACTGTAATAATCAATGGATATTCAACTTCTGAAAATTATTTCTGAAGTGAAAGGAGGATGAATTTAGATTGGGTTGCTCTAAAGGCAAACTATCTGAAGGTTCCTAACCCTTTGAAAGCGAGGAAGCTGGATGGGGTGTGTCTTGAGAATGGGGCAGTGATGTGCTCACTCAAACCCCTGGTGGGGGCTTGCCCAGAACCACAAGGGTGGGGTGTGGTATGCAATATGAACACCAGTTCCCACACCCACCCATTCTCTGCCACTGACAGTTTCCTTGTGTGTAAAATGAGAATAACAGGAGCTTTCTCATAGAGATGTCCAGACTAGTAAGAAAGAGCAGGCAAAGAATTGACTCAGAAATATAACAATGTACTTATTATTACAACTACAACTACAACTACGATTACTACTATGACTACTATTATTATTATTATTGACTTATTCTTTTCCAATTGGAGTGCCAAAAGGGCAGCCTCCTCAGTTAATCCAGTTGGTTGCAGATTAAGTGAATCAGCCACTTTTAGTACTCCTTTCAATGATCTGAAAATTGCTTAAAATAGAATGGTCATGTGTATGTATTTTAACAGGATGAACTGTGAAGTCAACACCAATTCTACTGGAACTGACATAAAAAGTAGATGTGGTACAGGAAAGACTCATGGGTCAGAAGGTTGGCAGTTTATTTTCCCAAAGAAAGGTAAAATGATTTCTTTGGAGAGCGACCTCTCAGCATTCACCTCCCTGGAGGCAAACCAGCTGGCAAGGATGGGCTGTCCACATGCATGACACACCCACCTGTCACTCAACCTGGCCCTGCCGATGGGCAGGTCATTTGGCAAACACACAGAAAAGGCGACTCTCCAAAGCCATCTCAAGGTAGGAGCATCCTTGAGAGCTTGGATCCAATGCCAGCTTTCACAAATAGAGCAAGAAGACGAGCCATCATCTTGCAAAAGCATCCATCTGGCAAGTTTCATTTAATTATCATGGGCAACTGTGTGATCAGGCTGAAAAGTAGGACACAACACACGCACAAAAGCCAGTGGACTTGTAGGAGAATGCTATTTTCTGGAGATGGCAGGCACCTTACAGTGGACTGCTCTGCCTTACTTACTGTAAATGTCACCTCTTTTTCCAAGTGACCTCTAGCTCTCCAAAACCAGGCTGGTTGGTCCTTCCCTGCATCCTCATGGTACTCAGGAACACCTGACACTGCTATGCCAGATCCTGGCCTGCCACCTACCCCAGCCTCCATGTCCTCAAGGGCAGAAGCCTTCAACTGATTGGGACTGACTCCTAGCAGAGGGTTTCACCCACAGCAGACACAAGGTAAGAGCTGCCCAGTGTTTACGATCCCACTCAAAGGAGCAAGACTCCAAGACCCCAAAGGCATTCAAGAACACCCACAAGAAGGGACCTAATGGTGACTCTCCTGAGTATGGCAACGATTTCCACTATTTTTATAATAGAGGGTAGTAAGAAATTCAGGTGTGCCTAACCAGGTGATTATTTTTTCAATATTGAGATTAATGAGTGAGAAATCCACATACAGATAGCAGAGAAAGTCAAATGGGATTCATTTATAACACCAAACTATATGCACCTACATTCCATTGTCACTTATCCTACTGCCCAGAACAACACAAGATGGATTTTTACTGAAATTAAGTACTAATTTAATAGAATAAAAAAAACTTTTTCAAGGCTGAAAGAATACGTTACAATGCTGAAAATACAATTCAATATCTGGGCGGTAGAGTTATGGATAGTTCTATTTTATTCTTTTTACTTATTCTCTAATTTTATTTCATAGTCATCAACACATAGCCAAAAATGAACCTGTAAAACATTTTAATTAAAAAATTGAAAGGCTTCCAAATTATAAATCAATTACATACAGCTTTGGTGACAAGTGCTCTGAGATCCATGCCTTTTAGCACTGACATCTGACAGCACTACAGGTCTGGTGACAGTGTGGTCTGGCTGGCCTACCACAGCCTGTGGGCTGGTTCATTGGATGCTGTGTTTCAAAGCTACTATCCAAGATGGGCTGTCACCTGAGGCCAGTGGAGTGCCTTTGTCCTGCTGTGCTGTGGAGGACCCTAAATCTTCAATGTGCATTTAAACTAAGAGAGGAGGTGAAACACAGATTTCTTAGTCCTATCTCTTTAACTTCTATATGCTATAGCTCTGACCCAATGATGTGCTTTATTCATAGCACCTTTAATGAATCTTGATCAGGGCCAGGACTAAAGAGGCAAGAGAGAGGCCCAGAGTGTGAAATTTCAGAGGCCACCAACCCTAAGACCCTTGCAAATTGGCACCTGCAAGGCAGTATCTCCTGAAAATCTGCATCTCTCTTGCCTCACCATGCCCCCAGCTTGGCCCCACTGCTGATGGTGTGGCACCTGCTCTAAAAAGGCTACATTACACTGGTCCAGTGTGGGCTGTACATGACAAGCTGCATTAGGAAAATGTTTAATGCATAAAGAATGAGCTGGGTAGAAATCTGATTCCTGAAAGAGAAAATCTGCATTTTGTAAGTGCCTCAATGCACCATGTAAGACATTAAATATACATTTTGCTGTTAAAGATACATAACTCTGCAATTCTCCAGGTTAAGTCTGAGCTGTGGTTTCTCAGATATTCTGCAATAAGCAGTATACCAAATGACACATTCCCTAATTCCTCCCAAGTTGGAGGTTTAGATAAGCCTAAGAGGTGCATAAGTTACATATTTTCCTTGGAGATTAAAAAAAAAAATAGCCTGTTCCCACCTCAAAGCATTGTGGACCTAAGTCCACTGATTAGCTTGTCTGCAGTAATGCTCCTAAGAATTTATTGCTTGAGCAATTAAAAAATTTAAACATTCCCTGATTTACCCCAGATTTGTGATCTTAAAAAATAACTCCTTTTCTCCACCATCAGGTCCATGTGGAAGGCAAGAACAAAATGAATTTTAAGAACAGAGCACAGACAACAAGAGCTGGCAGCGAGGGCTGGGAGGCAATGTACACAGAGCTCTCGGAGGGGAGGTCTTCATCCATCTCTGGGTGGCAAAGGACTTATGGGTAGAGCCCTTCTCTCCTCTGGTTCCTCCTCAACCATCTCCTGCTACAAAGTGCACTGGCCCACACTCTATAATCAGCAGGACAAAGAACACAGGCTAAGTCTCCAAATAATAAAAGACTAAGTGGAGAGCAATCAGAGAGATGAATTTCTGCTCTTGCAACTCCAGGTTTGCTGGTGTTTGACAAAGATGTTGCCACACTTTTCAGCAGTTTGTCACTATCCTGGTTTTTAGTCTGGGTGAAACCTACATTCTTGCCATAACACATATAATAAAAGAATTTAAATCTGCTGAAATTGGGAATGTAAAAATAACCCAAGCTAACTTTTTTACATACTAAGGAAATATTGTATTTTTTTTTAGAAAACCTCCAGAGTAGATATTTTTAAAACAGAGTGTTTATATCCTTAAGGATATCCAGAAATTAGTATATGGGAAACTTAACAGAAGTTTAACAAACAAAACAAAATTTCAACAATGATCTCTTGAACCCAATGATTTCTAACAGAGTACCTATAATTTTTTGAAACATATTGTCCTAATGAGCAATGTGCACAAGACATCAGCAATCTTTTATGATAAAGGATGAGATGACAATTTCAGGTAAGTATTCTAGGTTTGTGTGTCAAGTTTGCCATACCATGCAGTACAAACCTAGCCAGGAATTTCTGAACAAATGAGCACAAACATGTTCCAGTAGACCTTAACTGGTGAATACTGAATTTGAATTTTATTCTCATGTCTCACAAAATTTTCTGATTTTTTTTAGCCGTGAGAAAAACCTCTTAGTTTGTGGAACATCCAATACCAGGCAGCAGGATGAATTACCCTGCCACTTATGCTGGCTACTCTCATTCTGATCAACCAATAAAAAAGACCCATGGCTGGGCATGATGGGTGATGTACGCCTATAATCCCAGAACTCTGGGAGGCTGAGGCAAAATGATTACTAGTTTGAACCCAGTCTAGGCAATCTGGTAAGCAAATGAAAAGCAGAATGAGTTGAGACGTAGTTCAATGCCTAGTACTGCAAAACAAAACAAAACCTTCCAGATTCAAAATGCAGATGAAAAATGGCTTCTTAGAAAAAGCCTTCCTTGGTCAGAATCACTATGCTGATTCACGGGACCACCCACCACTGCTGTGTACACTGTTGTGTACAGACACAGGGAGGCAACAATGTGCACACACACAGCGCAATGCCACTGCACGTGCT